TAATTCAACAATGCCAGACAAATAAATACACAAGCATTTTAATAATTAAGCACTAGCTCTTAAATGTCCTCCTTATAGAATTCTTAAGCAATAAATAATTCCTTAAGTGTGATTAATAGCATTTTGTCCATCTTGTGTTGAATGTTATTTGTTCTGTGACTAATAAGTATAATGAATTGATTGTGTGTTTGTAATATTTACAATGTTGTGATGGCTTGTCTTACACATGTGGCTTTATAATGGGGTATAATATAATATTTAAATTAATAAATGAAATATCACAGTGACCTGCTGCCTTTTAATTTCTAAAATGCAAAAATTGCCTCAAGTGCACATAAAACATTCATTCATCACAATGCATATGTTCTTAGGAAATAATGAAAATCCTGTTTGTAAAAGCAACTGAATGTAGTTTTATGGATTTTTGTGACTTTGGCGCTTCCTACCGTTAAGTGAGTGGAATTCAGTCTGGTAAATATATCGCTGTCCTAATCCAGCGGATAGCTGTACACATGCATTTGTTGCTGTGTAAAGCGATCAGCCCTTTTAGCAGAATTTCGGATCTTGTCAACCAACTTACACAATCTCAGAACAGACAGAATGATTTTGAAACTTCGATTTCAAGGTAAAAGCCTTACATACAGTTGCTTTAATGTCTGAACTCTGCTGATGTTTTAGTCCATATTCTCCGCGCTGAGGCTTGATAGCAGAATGTCCTTCATGAAGGGGAAGATGTTATTGATCAGGCAGGTGAAGTAGTGGAACCAGGGGTAGTAGGCCTCTTTCTGACGGGTCGCCCCGGCTTTGATGATGCTCAGAGCGGCTTCACTGGCGGGATAGGCGGTCATCGTGGTGAATCCTCTGCAGAGAGATTTGATAGAGAATACAGTTATGGGGGATTCAGCCAGTTACTACTATGATGCATTTAAAAAACTATATTGACTGTATGACAGTGAAATTAATGCGTTAATGCAAATAAGTGCTTAAGTGCTTAGTTGTCATGTAGTAAATATTCAAAAAAAGAAAAAGAAAACTATGGTCCAGACATGTTCCTTTTCGGTTGTGTGGTTGTGTCAGTGTGTGTGAAGTTGCTTGAATGATGAATCATTATCCAGAAGAAGATGAGTGGCGTCTGGTGTCGATAGTTATGTTTAGCACATTGTTCTGTCCACTATAATAGATCACCAAGGTAACAAGATAAATGAGCCTGAGGACAAACTGCAAATGAATTCATAAACCGCTTCCTAAAAATATATTGAGTGATGCACAGAATAGAATGGATCATTGATTGCATTTGAACCGCACTAATGTCCTCGAAAGATCTGGACAGAAAACACTTTGTATCTTTCTTAACATTAGTTAATACAAATACAACTGTTCATTGTTAGTTCATGTTTGCTCAGGTCCATAAAATAATATTAACAGACTTTTGAGGTTAATAGTGTATTAGTAAATGCTAAAATGAACTAAGATTAATAAATGTATTTTTCATTGTCAGTTCATTTTAACCAATGCAGTTAATTAATGTTAACAAATGGAACCTTACTGTGAAGTATTACCAAAAAAAAATGCAAATTGCATGTTATAACCAAAGTGATAATGGCATTTTTTTCTTTGTTTGTAATGTGATCTTTTTTAAACAATTTAGCTAAAATATTTGTTTTTTTAACAAAAATATTCAACAAAACAAAACAGGTTTCACAAAAGACAAGTTCTTAATAATAAATAAATATATAAATTCATTAAAAATAATAATAATAATAATAATAAAGAATAAATAAATAAACAACTGATCATCTTAATGATAGTAAATACGTAAATAAATAAATAATATTTAAATAATAATTAAAAAAAAAAATCTCTTTAGGTTATCTTCAGATTCATCTCAGAAAACTATTTACATTTTTCCAACTCAGTGATTCTGTTTTTTAATTTTTTTCTGACATAGTGTTAAATCTTTCACTTGGTTGTTATAAGTTGCACAGAATAAATACAGCTGGATAAAACTGTGTCCGTCTTCATTTCAGGCTGCAAAGCGACAAAATGTGATTATTTTAAAGGGGGTGATTGTTTTCTATACCCACTGTAAATAAACATAATTCTTACCATTTTAAGATATCCCATAAAACAGCAACACATAAAGATTACAAAATTGACAGCAACCTCATTAAACATTTAGGGCACAAACTGTAAATTCAGAGGCATGTTGCATTTATGAAACACGAAATACTGTGTTTGCTATATGATAGAAATGCTGATTCAAGAAAATGGCTTAAACTACTTCAGTCTGTGTGCATTGAATTTATTTAATACACGAGTTTCACAATTTGAGTTGAATTACTGAAATGAACTTTTCCATGACATTCTAATTTATTGAGATGCACCTGTATTATATAATTTACTTGATAAATGTGAATAAAACATGGTTATGTTAATTAAAAATAGTTACTACTTTGACTGAATATAGCATTTCTAATATTACAAACTCAAAAAAATAAATAAAAAAAATCCTCCCAAGTCATCATTTTTGTCTGCAGTGGAGAGTTAAAACAGAAAACCAACCTGATCTTATTCATGGCTGATTCTGTGTCTATCAGTCCGAGGATCAAGATGGAAACAGACACGTTGCTCTTCCTGATTGCCAGTTCATTCTGCAGCGCTCCGAAGAATCCGTTCATAGCAAACTTGGTAGAGGTGTACGGAGCCACAAACGGACTCGCCAGCTTACCTGAATCAGGGACGAAAAGAGCCAAAAGTGCTTTGAACTTTTTCAGTTCCAGCAGAAAAACTGAATCTAGATTAACATTAATTGAACGTGCACCAACAAAGTTAAAGACTCACCTGCCACTGAAGACACTACAATGATGGATCCACCAGATGTTTCCAGAACAGGAAGAGCAGCTGCGGCCATTTGCACATAACTCACAAAATTCACCTGCAACAAGTGAGAGATCAGTGTGGAAAGAAAATGAAGAAATCCACACATTGCAACACTGCAGCAACAAAATCCTGTGTTTGACCTGCATGAGTGACCTGACGTGATCTGCGTCTCCCTTCCAGAGTTCAACATTGGTGTTTCCAACATGATTCAACACTAGAAAGTCCAGCCCACCTGCAGGATGGACATCAGGAGTATCATGCTGAATACATTCGGCAAAGTTTGGAATAATTATGATTTTTTTTATGTTTCTTCTCCCACCAAGGCTATATTTATTTGATGAAAAAGACAGTAAAAACATGAATACTGTGAAGAATTATTAAAATTTATAATAAAATCAGCAAATCATTAGAATGATTTCTGAAGGATCATGTGACACTGAAGACTGGAGTAATGATGCTGAAAATTCAGCTTTGATCACAGAAATCACATTTTATTATATATTACAAAAGAAAATTAAAATCCCTGGTAGCCCTTCAGGAAGGCACTCTTCAGATTTTGGTAGCTCGAAATAAATTTAACTAGCCCAAGTAAAAAAAATACTTCTTTTTTTTAAATAGAAACTTGGATAGGAGTTGAAATGTCAATCAAATCATTTTCAAAACACAAATATCAACAAATATCAAGGAAGGAATTTAATTTAATTATTTACAGGGTATCTGCAGAATTTTTCAAAATCAGTTTAGGGATTTTATGACCCCTTTTAAGAGCTGCACAAATAAACTGAACACTGTGTGAGGGCAGGGCAATGACTATGGCAACATATTAAACCGCAAAATTACATGATTTACAGTTCAGATACGAGTTTTCACAAAAACAAAAGGTCATTATAATAAACAAAATATAATCACAAAACAAAAATAATAAACATCACATTTCATTCTTTAAACCATTTTTAAGAAAAGGGATGAGTCAAACGTATAAATTCTTATATTAATTTAAAACACATAAGTATTACTGTCTTAACTGTTTAGATTTTTAGATTAGCTTCTTTTCACATTTACAACTCTACGTGTTTGCTGCGTAAAAACACGGGTCGATTTTCGCATTCATCTGAACATAAACAGCAGAAAGCCTTATTGAAAATGTAAAATCATTCTCTGCCACTAGGTGGCGCTCATAAATGCTACTTTATCAGGCTACTTTATTATAGTTAAGATTAGGGCTGGGTGATATAGCTAAAAAATGTATCAGCGATATAATGTTTCATATCGTTCGGTATCGATAATTATTGACATTTTTTATAACCTTTTTTAAAACAAAGAGCAATAGAAAAAAATGTTTACATTTAACCACTGTTTTTAAATTAACTCAATTTATTGACACAAACAACACATTTTTTTGTTTTGTTTTAACAGTTAAACACAAAATAAAAATTAAACAAATATCTAATTTCTAATGTTTTATATGCAGATTCAATAGGTTAAACTTTTGGCTCGTTTCCCAAGGGCGCAATGAGCAAAATAATGCAGCACATTAAATTGTCAACGCAAGGAAATAACTGTCTATAAAAATAAAACATGCATTACGTTAAATTAATTCATATAAATCAAATATAATTTCGTAAATTGCATAAACAATTATTGCATAATATTATTATCTCCTCATCACAGGCAGGCACAGCATTCATGTTCGTGTTTGTGTGTGCTGTCTGCGTCACTCATAGCACGTGCCTATATCGTGCACTATATCGAACATTTTGATATCGTTATCGAAGAAGGTTTACCGTCGATAAATATCGATACCGTTTTATCGCCCCCAGGCCTAGTTAAGATGAAAAGAAAATGCCATAGAAACCTTTCTGAAGACAGTCAGTTCCCTTGCTGCGTTTTGACTTTGAAACGTGCAGTGCCCATATTTATTAAATGAAATCATAGCCTTAGATTTTCATTTTGGTACATTTTCTGGAAAACACCATAGCCCCTGGATGTCAGGCGTCAGGATTTCGGGAGCCATGTGTATTTGAAATCAGTAAATGCAGCTTTGGAGAGCAGAAGAGACTTCTTTCAAAAACGATTCTTCTATTATTCCAAATAGCTTATGTATTTCACATGCAGTGTGTGATGCAATCATTTCTCACCCAGTTTTTCCACAGCGTATTTGAAGACTCTCTCGGGGTCGGCGGGGTCAGACATGTCTCCGGTCACATACATCGCCTTCTGAGCGCCCAGTTTCACACACTTCTGCACCACCTGAACAGACGCAGGCAGCGCAGGATTTCTGTAAATCTCTAACGTTCATTTGCTCAGTTTCTACTTTCATGTAAAATCACTGTTTTATTGCTCCCCTTACATAGAATTCTACCAATTCTCAGCTTTACAGCCTCTGCATTATTTGACACAAATATGATCACAGTCCATTGTTAATGGAAACACTATAGAGAATATCTTAAAATGTTTTGAGCTTTTGAAAGCATTAATACACCATTGTTTAAAAACTGGTTTGGGACAAAACAACTGACCTTTTTTAAAGCATCTACTCGTCTGGCAGTGATGACGATCTGAGCTCCAAACTTTGCATAATGGTAGGCCATCTGCTCCCCAATCCCTGAACTGGCCCCTGTGATCAGCACTCGGGCCCCCCGAACAGACTCTATGCGCAGGAACACACTGTCTCGATGTAATTCAGGACATTTCATTGCGTTTCAGGTAACTTAACCCAGCCACCACTTGATCATTGGATTTCTTAAGGCTTGAACTCCCAAAACATAAAAGCTAGAAGCAATCTAAAGCCTACTGTATCATATTTGATGCGCAAATTTCTGAGGACCCTGAATGATCAACATGATCAAAACATTTCTGTTAAATGTCCACCTTCTGCTCGTGCTTCGCATGTCTTTTTGCTGTCAAATCTTTACGGATTTTAATAAAGTAAATATATGAAAAAACTTTTCATATCTTTAGTAATATTTCAAGATGAACACTTACTGGACTGGAGCGACTAAGGTTTACTTAATTATCCATACATCATTTTTTAGAAAATCATGTTCAAGTGTTAGTCTCAAATATGATTGTCAGGCTTTTTCTATCTCTCAATCATCATTGTATTGCATTGCATTATATGTTTTGATCATAAAACTAAACATTTAAATATCATCTTACTAAGACGCATTATTGGCAGATATAGAGTGGCAAATGATGTTTATATGATTTTATGTATGTATCTACTATACTGTTATAAAGATCTCACAGATTTACATTACATGCTATCAGAATTTCATCTTACTTTTTGGCTACATAAATACATGCAGTAAATTGCATTTTTTGCTGTTTGGGCCCTTGAATAAAACTTGAGTTTTAAAATTGAGAATAAAATGGTCATAGGGTTTTTTTTTCTTTTCCCAATACATTTTCATTTTAAAATGTTTTTTTAGTATTATTTCATATGTGAGGCTTTACAGAGTTCAAATGTTCTCTTAAAGTGTCATTTTAATTCTATATATTTCAGAAAGACAGCTTCAATTCAGTTTTTTTTTTCAATGATTCAGTAACCACAAAAGTTAAATCTCTAGATCATCAGCACATGTATTTTAACCAAGGTTACATTGATATGAACGAACCATAAGTTACATAACCCTAATAAAAGAGTCTGCCAACCGTTTTCAAGACTAAAGTTTAGTTGGTTAAAGTTCTAGTGGAATACTTGCAAACACTTGGTATTTTGAGTTAAATTTGGAAGCAAAGCCGATGTTAAAGCAGTCTAAAAAATATAGTTGTCATATAGTAACATGCAAATAAAAAAACTGCAGAAACAATTAGCTTTCAAAGTAACACTTTACAATAAGGTTCCATTAGTTAATGTTAGTTAATATATTGAACCAAGCAATGAACAATACATGTATTACAGCATTTATTAATCTTTGTTAATGTTAGTTAATAAAAATACAGTCGTTCATCGTTCATGTTAGTTCAGTGCACTGACTAATGTTAACAAGCAAAACTTTTGATTTTAATAATGCAGTAGTCGCCTAAATGTTGGAATCAACATTAAGATTAATAAATGCTGTAGAAATATTGTTCATGCTTAGTTCATGTTAACTAAAGTAGTTAAATCATGTTAACTAATGCACCTTAATGTAAAGTGTTACCGCATTAAACATCTTTTTTTTAGGATTCCACAAAGTAGGCTACTGTATGACATGTTGATATTAGTCATGGCAAATTAAGGACTAGAATATAGCATTCAATAATAAAATGAGCATAATAACACCGTAAAGCTGTTGTCCTGACCTGGATCAAACGTATCTCTCCACATGTAGGCCGTGAGGGCAGCGATCAGCAGAAAAAAGCCCAAATACCCCTTCATTTTCACTGCTGTCCTCGATCAGAAGCTCAGGGTGTGAATCCAGTGCGAGTGCATTGAGAAATGCCACTTCTGACTGCATGTGAGTGTACTGCTGATACAGAAAAGAGCCATAAAGCGTGACTGACCCTGAGATCCAGCGCGCTGGATAATAATGACCGAGAGTTCAGTGCTCAGTAGGCTGAAGGTCTGTCACTATTGTTTACAATACTGGGTTTCTTTTTACAAATGTCTGTACTGTGTCAGTTTGGTGAGCAGGTAAGAAATTCCACGAAAAGGACGGACCGCTTTACGGCAGAAACAAATGCACGTGTACAGCTATCCCACTGTAATTACGACTTTGTTTGGCGATTCTGAAAATGAAGTCAGAATTGTGATATATATATAAACATATAATTGCGAGATAAAAGCTCGGAACTGCGAGAAAAATCCGCATTTTTTACTCGCAATTTTGACTTTTTTCGCAATTTCGAGTTTACATCGCCACAGAATAAAAAGGTATTTCAGAGCCGGCCCAAGAAGGCATAAGCGAACTAAGGGGCTGCTTAGGGCTCCCCTGGCCACCAGGGGCCCCCCAAGAGTACATGAAATGACAGCTTGTTTTTTTTCTATCTCTTTTTATATGTCATGTCAATGGACAATGGTAATAATACAAAAATGCAATATTAAATGTGTAAATTAGTTTGTTTTGTCATTTAAAAAACCTTAATGACCATGTTAGTTGATCTATAATGCGCGCTGGACACTATAATAGATCTGTCGGATTAACGGATCACGTAAATTCACCCATTTCTTCCAAAATACAGGAAAGTAAGTGGCCAGTGAACTGGAAGAAAAACAGAGTAGACTTCATAGTTACCAACACAATGTGTATATGATAGGAATAAAACACGGATTATTATTGCCGCTTTCCAGAGAAATAAGTGTTTTTAACAAACTATAAATGTATTTTTTTGCTAGTACTTAATTGAAATGTCTGAAACCAAAAATAAACTTTATGTGGTTGAAAACACCGAACAGTTATGATACTGAGCGCGTCTTTCTCTGGATCGCACGTTGCGTCAAAGGGTTGAAATCGATCATAATGTAACATTTTACTTAGAAGACCAAAACTTTTATCTAAAACTAGCTGTGCAAAACTTTCTTGGATATATATTTTTGTATTGAAAAATAAGCTTCGGTTTCATAAACTTGGAACTGATAACAGCTTAACATTATTTACATTAGCTTATAGGGTCTTTGCTATTATATTCCAATATCATTATGCCTCAATTTGCAAGTTACAGATTAAGAGTTGTTTTTTTTAGGTGTACAGATGACTTGATGCTGTGTTTAATCATGTATGTTGTTAAAATAACATTCTGTTTCATAAATGCATTGTCTGCTGGTTTATTTAGCTACTTTTCAGTACACCGCCTTAAGTAGGCCACTTAGTACTGTATTTTAAATTAACACCTGACCACTCTTGTGGGTTTGCTACGGTTACAATTAAAAATCGTAGAAGGGTAAAAACATGCCAGGCAGACGTTGGTATGATGTATGCAACACAGCTACAACAAATACAATTGATAATGGGTGTGAGATTTATAGTGTGCGAATAATCAAGCATTGACAATAATCAGTTGTATTGGCGGCACCGAGGGGCCCCCAAATAAAATTCCGCTTAGGGCCGGCCCTGCAATTCACAATTATGTTCTTACATTTCTAAATCAAAGTTGTATTATTATTTTTTTTATAATATTATTTGTTTCTATTCTGTAGCCGAAACAGTTGCTTTAAATGGCTGAAACATTCATACATATTCAGCACAGATTATTCTGAGTTAGTGGATCTCATAGGTATTTGTTCGTATGACAATGAATATAAACATTTAGAACACAATTTTGCTGTGGCAAATCATTAAAAAATCTATTCATTTAATTATTACTGATATTTTTTTAAATAGTTTATTTAGATTCTCATCCCTATACTGTCATTAAACTGTTTTTACATTATGTGCATTTTATGTGTGACTAAAAAGTCCATAAATAGAAAAAAAGTACCATGAGAACAAATTTCAGTGCAAAAAATATCTCTTATTATTTACGATAACATCATTACACAAACAGTCAGGATGAATAGTTTGACACTCCTCAACGTCACCTACTGAAACATAACTTTGGTAAAAAGCAGCAAAAAAAAATGATGAAATTGAGGAACCAAAGAAACCGGCAGAAGCTCGCAGACCACACGATTAAACACATTTACAAAGATGCCAGAGAGAATTACTCGTTCACAGTTAGAAGAAAGAAAAACCGCAGAAGCCTGCTGAGGGTCATGAAACCTTGAACATTTCAAACGGCTTGAAATCATCAAACCTTTTGTCTACACGGAAAGCAGAAATATAGTACAAGTTTTTTTAAAGCACAACGGAGAATATACAGAGAACGATCCACCTGATGGCAAACAGACCAGAAACTCAATCCATATGCACAGCTCAAAGTAGAACAATTCATTTACAGAAATGTGCATTTCACTGAACAATACTTTCCTGTAATCCCAAATTGGGTCGCCCAAAAAGATTTACTGTGTCAGGAGAAACAAACAATTTATCTTTTCCAAAAAATAAATTAAACCCACAATGTGTTTTTGATAACGACATACTGAATATCTAACTAGAATATAACTTCACAATAAACAACTGATGATCTGTGTGAAGCGCTAATGTACAGGAGGAATTCCAAAACTGTCGCTCTGTCTGAGAAGCAAAACACAGCAGGAAAAGTTCAGCAAATACACCCAATCAGAGAGCAGATCTGAACATCCTACATTTACATATGAAATCCCCATCTGTATGCATTACATTTACATAACCAAATCCATTTATATACAAGTCAATTGTAAGTAGTTGTCTAATTAGAGGGATAGTTCCCCCAAAAATGAAGATTACCCCATGATTTACTCACCCTCAAGCCATCCTAGGTGTATATGACTTTCTTCTTTCAGCTTACGCTATGCCTACGTCATCCGCTGGAACACCACTCTCTCGTGAGCGCACGTACGACAGTTAGCGGAAGCTAGAGATTACGGTTTATGAAGTTTTAAATATGGATATTTTTCTTACACAAACGCATCACTTCACTTCAGAAGACCTTTATTAACCCACCGGAGCTGTGTGGAATAATTCTTATGATGGATGAATGCACTTTATCGGGCTTCAAAATCTCAACACCCATTCACTGCCATTATAAAGCTTGGAAGAGCCAGGACATTTTTTTATATAACTCCGATTGTATTCGTCTGAAAGAAGAAAGTCATATACACCTAGGATGGCTTGAAGGTGAGTAAATCATAGGGTAATTTTCATTTTTGGGTGAACTATCCCTTCAATACAGTTAATATTATTAATTTATATAACTACACACAAAACCCTTAAGTGAGTTTTTTTTTTTTAATCTGTGGTCAGAACTATTTACAATTCAAAACTCCTTGAACATTCGTACATACGAAAACGCAACCTTCTCCAAGGGGGAACGGAAGCTATTCCATGGGATTATAAACATACCAAATGATGCCCAACGCACACGTATAAATACACTGTTTTGATATGACAATTGTAAAAATCGTCTCCCTAAGCTGTGACATCAACACAAAATAAACCCTGTACACAGACGCTTCATACAACACCTCAGCGGCCAACCCCTCACAGCGAGGCATGGCAGACTGTACAATGAGAGGTGATGATGCTTAAGCTATGAGGAGGTGTAGCAGTGTGGGTTCGTTTCGGGTTTCTTTGTTTTGTCTGTTTTTTTTAGGTGGTCTTGACCAGGTCGTACACGTGGATGTGGAAATCGTCATCATATTTGATGTAGTAGACAGACGGCTTGGCGGGAACTTGGAAGATGACTAGGCCTGTTCTCTTCACGCCTTTATCCGTCACATACTCCACCTGCTTACCCACAAGGCTCTCTGTTTCCTCACCGGGCTTCCTGTCTGCAGGCAGCAGGTGTTTATTCTCTGTGGAAACAAAGGGGTGGAACGACTTTACTTCACAGTAAACTGAATGAATTAAAACGACTTATTTTATAAATAGAATGTAATTAATGTAATATTAAACATTTTATATTAAATACATAAAAATAAACATGCATTTTATTCATTCTAATTAGAGGGATAGTTCCCCCAAAAATGAAGATTACCCCATGATTTACTCACCCTCAAGCCATCCTAGGTGTATATGACTTTCTTCTTTCAGCTTACGCTATGCCTACGTCATCCGCTGGAACACCACTCTCTCGTGAGCGCACGTACGACAGTTAGCGGAAGCTAGAGATTACGGTTTATGAAGTTTTAAATATGGATATTTTTCTTACACAAACGCATCACTTCACTTCAGAAGACCTTTATTAACCCACCGGAGCTGTGTGGAATAATTCTTATGATGGATGAATGCACTTTATCGGGCTTCAAAATCTCAACACCCATTCACTGCCATTATAAAGCTTGGAAGAGCCAGGACATTTTTTTATATAACTCCGATTGTATTCGTCTGAAAGAAGAAAGTCATATACACCTAGGATGGCTTGAAGGTGAGTAAATCATAGGGTAATTTTCATTTTTGGGTGAACTATCCCTTCAATACAGTTAATATTATTAATTTATATAACTACACACAAAACCCTTAATTTAATAAAATAATATAAAAAATCTAAAGTTTGGGGTCAGTAAGATTTTTTAATGTTTTTAAAAAAAAAGTCCTTGTCACCAAGGCTGATTAAAAATGTATTAAAGATTGATTGAAAACGCAGTAAAAACAGCAATATTGTGAAATATTACTACAAATTCAAATAACTGTTTTCTATATGAATATATTTTCAAATGTAATTTTATTGTAATGTTTATTTCTGTGATGCAAAGCTGTCCAGACTTCAGTGTCACATGATCCTTCAGAAATCATTCTAATATGCTGATTTGCTGCTCAAGAACAGTGTTATTTTAATATTATTGAAATACTACTAGTTTTTAATTATTATTTTGAATCCGTTTTTATTTTTATATTTTCCATTTTCATTTGAATTTTAAAGCTTTAGTAATTTTGTTGTTTTTGTTATTTTCAGTAGTTTTTTTTATGTCTATACACTTTTTATTAACATTTTTTTTTTTTAATTCTTCATCATTTTAAATCAAGATACAAGATCTCTCAGACATGGCTAGTAAGAAACCAGTCTCGAGTCACAGACAATCATATGTCATATGATGCGATTTCAATTTTTCCTTTCTCTTTGGAGTGTTACAAGCTCTTGGTGCATAAAGAAGATCTGTAAAGTTGCAAAGACTAAAGTCTCAAATCCAAAGAGATATTCTTTATAAAAGTTAAGAGTCAGCCACGCCTACCTAAAACGCCTCGTTCTAACACGCCCCCACATGTCTACCTCACAATGTGGGAAGATTTGCATAACACTGCCCAAATGTTCACGCAAAGAAAGGCGGCGTAACTTTTATTCGCGCTGTAGTATTGTTGCTGCCGCCGCCATGTCGTGAAGACGCTGTGTGTTTCGTTGTGAAAGCGAAACTACTTTGTTTGGCCTTCCAAAAGAGGACGATATCCACTTCGTTATGCCTAGAGCTGATCCGTGCTGGTCGCTGAGGAAATACATCAACTTCACGCTGTGGATGGACGAAGCGGAGTCCAACCCGGGGTCGTCACATGTGGTTGCCGCAAGCTCGCCGGACGCTCCTTCATCAAATCCGCCGGCTGCCGCTTACTCTAGCCCGCAGGCCTCCGCTCACTCTAGGCCGCCGTGTGTGACGCTGTGTTTCGTTGTGAAAGCGAAACTACTTTGTTTGGCCTTCCAAAAGAGGACACAACTAGAAATCAGTAGTTAAGTTGTATTTACAACACTGTTCCAGAATAGTTCAACCCAAATATTCAGATGTGTGCAGCACATTTTATGGAGGACTGTTTCCTGATCCTGGGAGAGTAGACTACAATGCCGGCTGTTCTGACTCACAGACTGTAAGTACGTTTTCTATATATAAAGAATTTGCCACTGACCGATTCAAACGCACTTTGAGCAGTGTAGAGTAGCGCTTGTTGTTTGTCATTTCTCCGATCACAAATGCAGACATGGTTTTATGTTTACGCGGCGCGATGCAACGCGTAAAAATACAGTATAAGTCATTATAATCCTTAATTATGTCCCCACTGGATGCAACAAATGCCTCGTTTATAATTGGTTTTAATGTTTATGTCTCGTCACTCCGCCCGGGACACGGCATCACAGTATGGTAGGGGCGTAATATTTCCGTCACACGCTTGAGGTATTCAACCAATCACAACGCACTGGATAGCTGGCCAATCAGAGCACACCTCGCTTTTCAGAACGATGAGCTTTGTAAAAATCAACGCGTTTTAGAAAGGCGGGGCATAGAGGAGAAACAATAGGGCCTTTCGTTTCTTAGTCCTCCTTTCCGTTCTTTCAATCGATTTACGTATACGTCGACTTTCCATGTCCCATTATTGTGAAACCCACGAGACACAACAAAAACACAGCTCCGTTCACAGCGTCCTCCATCCTCCTGTTGTTAATGTTGTTCTTCTTTGTTTCTGTTGTTGAACGCCGCGCACAAATGACGACGCTGTCGACCGGCTTACGTCACTTCTTAGTACACAATGTCGGTACGAATGCAACCCTTTAAATAGTACTTGGAAATAGTTCGCGCAAAATCGTCCCAGTACTTTAGTACTGTACATTTAGTTCTGAACTAAAGCGGTGCGAAAGGCCCTAGTAATGTACAGTATGTGGAAAATAATGTGGTTTTTTTACCTTAAACCGCATAAACACATTTCATTACACCAAATACCAAAATAATGTTCTTTTTAGCAACATCATATGACCCCTTTAAAAGCGTCTGCTAAAAGCATAAATGTAAATGTTACTATTATAAAATTAATGTATAATATTCATCTAGATCTAGACATATTGTTTTATACTTATTTAATATAAAAGGTGAGAAATTTCAGAAACTTTCAACTAAGGTTTTATTAAAAACATCAGCTTATTTACCCGCTTCAGGTAAAATTCGGAGATCTCCGTCTTTGTAGTCGTCCCAGAGCTGGTACATGTAGAGCACGGGGTCCTTCTCATATGTGATGTAGTACCAGTTGGTCATGATGGGCGCTCGGGACAGGACCATCCCCCTCCACTCGTTCTTCTCTCCGTCCTCCTTCTCAAACAGATGCTCCACGGCTTTTCCCACCAGCTCCTCTGCGTCATGAGGAACCTTGATCTTGTTGTTCACTTCAAAGGGTTAGGAAACAGCAAAATGACTAAATGAGCATTCAAGTGTTTTACAGTGATTTTACCCTGCTTAGGAGCTCTGGTTGAATTGAATATTAATACATACTGATTAAGAAAAAGTTTTACATTTACATTACAGTATAAATAAATAAATATATAATAACAAAAACATTATTTTACAGATTCCACAGACACTAATTATTGTTTTCATTACAGTACTCAGTGAGATTTTTTTATGTTTTTGAAACAAATCTCTTAAGTTCACCAAGACTGCATTTATTTGATCAAAAATACAGTAATACTGTGAAATATTATTACAATTTAAAGTAACTGTTTTCTATATGAATATATTGAAAAATGTAATTTATTCCTGTGATGCAAAGCTGAGTTTGCAGCATCATTACTCCAGTCTTCAGTGTCACATGATCCTTCAGAAATCCCTCTAATATGCCGATTTGCTGCTCAAAAAACATTTCTGATTATTATCAATGTTGAAAACAGTTGTTTGTATTTATTTGAAATAATATAAACGTTTTTACTAGGGATGCACGATATTATCGGACCAATATCGGAATCGGCCGATAATGGCTTTAAATGTAAATATCGGCATCGCCGATATGAAAAATTATGCCAATATGTCTTGCTGATAAGAGGAATACATTAACTCACATGTGCTCAGGGTGTGCTAGCAATTAAATCACGTCAACAATGCGATTAGATCATGTCAGCATTTTGGCTCATTCTTGAAGCAAAATTTTGCCTGAATGATGATTAAATTCACAGTTTTGGATCGCTGCATTTAAACTGAGAAGGCACGTATAGAATGATGCGTTCGGTGTACGATAAAGTAAACAGTAATAGCACGTGCAGCAGCAGCAGCGGCAGCCTGCCCCGGGTCCAAATGGCCGCTCAGTAAGGAGTTTTAATCTGTAGGGGGCGCTGTTGGCCTACTTCTAATAAAATGAAAGCAAAATACACAAATAATATTTAGACCGTGTTTCTGATTAAATAAAGCAGTAATTGATGCCATAAAATCATGAGTGTGTCTCAGAAGCTATAGCTTACAAAAATCACAAACATGACACTTAAATTAAATAATTTTATAAATACCTACTGATTTATTAATTAATGTCTAATATGTTATTTTTTTAATATCATTATCATTATGAGCTCTAAAAGATTTTCAGAATTTTTACAACTATTTTGCTTTAGACCATTTACAAATATTATCATAAAATAAAATGTTAAGGTTACCACTGCATCTTTCTGGGAAAAAAAATGCAGTGATTAATATATAGTTTATTTATAGTTATTTTCAAATCTTCAATGTATTGTCATTATAAAAGAACTTTATTATTGTTTATCTGTCAAAAACTAACCATAATTAAAAATAGTTATATATCGGTATCGGCATCGGCCAAAATGAGTTGAAAATTATCGACATATCGGATATCGGCAAAAATCTAATATCGTGCATCCCTAGTTTTTACTGTCACTTCTGATTAATTTAATGCATCCTTGCTGAATAAAAGTATTAAAAAACTGACTTTATACCATTACTGAGATATAGAATTACTTATATCATGAAATTTTGGTCATAGGTATTCACACCCAAAGTAGCACATACTGTTTTAGTAGCAGGATTATTTATCAGACTTAGTTCATGAACTATAAATACTACTAGCAACTGCTCATCTTTGCACATGTGCTACTTCCTGTCACTGGCTTGTTTCCTGTTCGCATCACAACAGATCCACCTACTCACCCACTTTCTCAGTAAGAACTTGCAGGTTGGAGACCCTCTCGTCCTTAAAGAGCTCTATGCCATAGACGCAATCGAATCCGTCGTATTTAACCATGAACAGGGAGGAGTTGACGCTGAGGCGATCCAGCACGGTGCCCTTCCACTTGGTCAGTGCGCCCTTCTCCCTCCAGCTGTGTTGGATCCGTCGGCCCAGCAGGTTGTTGGGATCTGGGGTGAGACTGTCGCTCAGCTCGCCGCTGCTGCGCTTCCTGCTGAGCAGAGAAGAACAGGAATGTAAAGGGCTGCATTAAGTCTGGTGGAGTGCAAATCGAGGATCATTTTACAACTCAAACTCTCATGATTATAATTTTAGCGATTTTATATTGCATAGCAAATATAATACACATGGTTTATGTAACAGATACACATACTGTACATTAGTCTAAAACAATATAATTTAATAATATAAAATATAATTTAATTAAGTATATTAATATAATTCTAATTAGTTTATTCATATAATTATAAATATAAAATACATAATTATAAATATTACTATAATTAATATATACCTATATAATTATATATTATATATATATTAATAATATTAATATAATTATAATTTCATTCAGCAGGGATGCACTAAAAGGATCAAAAGTGACAGTAAAGGCATTTATAATGTTACAAAAGATTTCTATTTTAAATAAATGCTGTCCTTTTGAACTTTCTATTCATCAAATAATCCTGAAAAAAATGCATCGTGGTTTCCAAAAAAAATATGAAGCAGCACAACTGTTATCATCACTGATAATAATCAGAAATGTTTCTGAGCAGCAAATCAGCATATTAGAATTATTTCTTATGGATAACACTGAAGACTGAAGTGAAATGATGCTGAAAATTCAGCTTTGCATCACAGGAATAAATTACATTTTATAATATATTAACATAGAAAACGGTTATTTTTGATTGCATAAATGCAGCCTTGGTGAGCAAAGGAGTGAACTTAAGTGTGCATTATTCTAAATAGAACAAATTTGTTTTCATAATCATTCATCAAACTTGATGACATTACAAAGTCTGTTTATTTTTCAACCACCTGGCTCTATTCTGATCTTTAGCAGCCACTTTTCACAATCCAACCAATTCCAAAACAATTCCCACCCTGTATTTGTGTGTGTGTGTGTGATTATCCTATTTCAGTCAGAAATACATAAATCACCTAAATAAAATGGGTTCACACTGACTCTACAGGCACTTAATAGAAATAAATAATGACAAATATTTTTAAAATGTTGTCTACTCACTCACATGAGATGAAGAATAACTGGTAACTTCCAAATTATACAGTACCCACATGGCTGACCTTTAAATAAAACTACCAACCTCTCCCAACTGACTTGAGTTCAGCCGAGCACAAGAGTTCAGAGCTCAGTTTAATCATTCACTGCATCTGTCACTCAACATTTCTAACGCTCAAAACACATTCCTGGAAATGTCACAGCATAATCAAGCTTGCAACCAAAATATCACCCTGGAGCTGCTGATAATCTGAGCATGTGCAGATTCATTATTAGTCAATTTTGAACTACATGGTGTTGCTTGACAATTCTCATAAGGCTGCGGTTCTCTCGGTTGGTTGTGCATCTTTTTCTTCCACACTTTTTCCTTCCACTCAACTTTCTGTTAACATGCTTGGATACAGCACTCTGTGAACAGCCAGCTTCTTTGGCAATGAATGTTTGTAGCTTACCCTCCTTGTGAAGGGTGTCAGTGATTGTCTTCTGGATAACTGTCAGATGAGCAGTCTTCCCCATGATTGTGTAGCCTAGTGAACCAAACTGAGAGACCATTTTGAAGGCTCAGGAAACCTTTGCAGGTGTTTTGAGGTGATTAGCTGATTGGCATGTCACCACATTCTAATTTGTTGAGATAGTGAATTGGTGGGTTTTTGTTAAATGTGAGCCAAAATCATCACAATTAAAAGAACCAAAGACTTAAACTACTTCAGTCTGTGTGCATTGAATTGATTTAATACACGAGTTTCACAATTTGAGTTGAATTACTGAAATAAATTAACTTTTCCATGACATTCTAATTTATTGCGATGCACCTGTATATGTGGAGAGCAACGCTGTATATGATACAATTTAACGACAGCAAGACTCATTGTTCAATGACTTAAAGCAACGGTTCACCCAGAAATGAACATTCGCAGGCCATCTAAGATGTAGATGAGTTTGTTTCTTCATCAGATTTGGAGAAATGTAGCATTCCATCACTTGCTCAGCAGTGCATGCTCTGCAGTGAATGGGTGCCATCAGAATGAGAGTCCGAACAGCTGATAAAAACATCACAATAATCCACACAACTCTTTTATTCACTTCACTAGATGTTAACTGATGGACTGGAGTGGTGTGGATTATTGTGATGTTTTTATCAGCTGTTTGGACTCTCATTCTGACGGCACCCATTCACTGCAGAGGATCCACTGGTGAGCAAGTGATGTGATGCTAGGTTTCTCCACATCTGTTCTGATGAAGAATCTTAGATGACCTGAGAGGGAGGACACTTTCATTAAATGTTCATTTTTGGGTGAACTATTGCTTTAATTCACTGACCAACAGTGATGGTAATCCATGGCACGTCCATATATATCAGGGTTCCTCAAATCTTGCCCTGGGGGGCCAATGCGCTGCAGAGTTTAGCTCCAACTCTGATCAAACTCAGCTACCTGTGATTTTCTAATGATCCTAAAGACATTGATTAGCATGCTCAGGTGTGTTTGATTAGGGTTAGAGCTAAACTCTGCAGGAAAGTGGATCTCATGGGCCAGATTTGAGGATCCCTGATATATATCATGCTAAAATTAATTTACTATGGTATTTACATTTTACACAGACTCTGGTATCCCTGCAATGTCATCATATGTCAAAGTAACATGGTACTGCCATTCTGATACAGCACATTAATATTGTTTTTACTCACCTGGCCCTTTTCTTGGACATGTTTCCAAAACCTCAAACACGCCTAGAAGAGAAAAATGACAGAATTACAAGAAAACCAACAGGTTTGCTGGTCTTTTTAATGTTTTTAATGCACTGGTCAGTTTTGAGAGTTTGGGCTATTCTGCTTCCATAACATTCCATTTATCCACTTCAGAAGCATTTGCTACACTAAACTTCACAGTTTTATTCCTGTCTACGTTCTAAACATGTTTACGGAAGGGTTTCATCATATACCATTTGCCTATTTTTATAAAACATTTTATTAATAAAACATGGTGAAAAAATTGCAATGCAAAACAGTTGTCTTAATGTACAGTGTTTATTCAGCTGGGAAGTATGGTGGTGATGTTCACCTGTGGTGAACAATACAGATAACACTTTCATTTCAGCGTATAGAAACTGATGGAGTGTCAGCATATGGTTGGCCACATGATTTTGACAGCTCCATTCAGTCCTAAATCTACTACAGATAAATCTACTACACTCGTTCAAATGTTACAATGTTTCAAGAATTGTGAAACAGATACATGACTGTATAATGTTACATATGTAACGCCACGTTGTCTTTTGTTATTTTGTAGCCTTGCCACATTAATCTGGCCTCTGATTGGACAATGACTCAACAGCGCCTATGTTGCATAATTACATCGAATCTGCGGCATGTATTCATGTGTTTATGGTTTAATATCGAGTTAAAGTGGACGTGAAATCCCCGCAGAACACGAGACATCCACAATATTGCGGCATAATAGAGGCCGGTTAATTTTTCATGTCTTACTATGTGAAAACTGTGCTGTTTCTGCATATGTCGACCAATATATAACATTCACATCCTAACTACCATATCAGACATGAGTAATGCAACTAAATGAGTGCTGAGAATCTATAAAAAGCCACAGAATCGGGTCGTTTCGCTGCTTCACATGAAAACCACCAACGCAGCTATAAAACGCTGGTGTTTCTGTCCTCTGCGCAACCGGCAAAGTCCGCTTTATCTTCGTATTTAATCGTCATACACACTCTAAATTCCACGTGAACACGTGTTTTTGTATAAATCGTAAGAAAAGCAAGATTACCTGGCCTCTATTTTCATGTCTATGATGGACTTCCCTCTGCAGAGATCCTCATGTATAATGCTCGTCCAGACGTCAGGCAACAAGCTGGCACGGCCAGTTTAAACTACAGCTCCCATAATGCATTGTCGATGAGAATCGCTCGAACAGCGGGAAGGGAATTCTGGGAAATGTAGTGAGAGGGTGTGTGAACTCGGAAAGGGGCGGATTGATCGCATTCTTCCTGTGTCTTCTGTTTGACTGCCGCTATGTTTAGGATAAAACAAAAGCCATTTATACAAGGACTAACTAAACTTACTAATGACTTACTAAAAAAACGCCTGCATAAAAGTCATCAGAGATGATAAAATCTCTCTGGATGTTATTGTGAACCTTATGGGCAGGTAAATGTTTACTAAAAGCAAGATTACCTGGCCTCTATTTTCATGTCTATGATGGACTTCCCTCTGCAGAGATCCTCATGTATAATGCTCGTCCAGACGTCAGGCAACAAGCTGGCACGGCCAGTTTAAACTACAGCTCCCATAATGCATTGTCGATGAGAATCGCTCGAACAGCGGGAAGGGAATTCTGGGAAATGTAGTGAGAGGGTGTGTGAACTCGGAAAGGGGCGGATTGATCGCATTCTTCCTGTGTCTTCTGTTTGACTGCCGCTATGTTTAGGATAAAACAAAAGCCATTTATACAAGGACTAACTAAACTTACTAATGACTTACTAAAAAAAACGCCTGCATAAAAGTCATCAGAGATGATAAAATCTCTCTGGATGTTATTGTGAACCTTATGGGCGGGTAAATGTTTACGACTTTTATTAGCACTGACGGAACTACATTTCCCAGAATGCACCAAGACTTTTCTTTGTCATTCCTTTGGTCAGCTTTGGAGGAATGGGCCTTTGCTTTATTCGAAGCGTGTTTCTTATCCCATGTAAAAAGAAAAATAATTTAAAAAATATGTAAAAGATACAAAATGTATAATCCCCAAAATAATCCTTGTGTTTTGTACAGAATAATATTTTAAGTTTTTTTTTTTTTTTTTTACAGTTGTTTATACAGAGTTCAATAAATATATAAAGAGAAAAAAAATGCAGCTTTACATTTCTAAATTTGCACCTGAAACCGAAAGTTATGCATATTTAAATATATTTAAATGACACGTCTTGAATCCATACAATTGTTCATTGTAACGCAACGCTGTGGATTCAGGGTCCACTGCATTATATTTAATATTCTCCACTAGAGGACACTAGTGCTCCATTCTCAGAACAACAGGACCGTGCAAACCTGGTATAAACACAAACTTACCAATAGCAAATATGTTGTCATTCAACGTTCTTCCCCAAGCTTCTTCTTTGTGAGATAAAAATAAATAAATAAATAAAAAATAATAGATCACTCACCAAATGTTTAGTGTTACTGAACAGTGATTAACAACAACAAAACAAAAAAAAAACAGTTAAAAATGAAGTGAAAGACTACATACCGTTTATTTTGAATAGCATTATAGACAATTCATCATATATAATTATAATTTCTATATTGTAAATTATATATGATTAATTTATAATAATATAAACAAAATTGCTGATATAAAATGTAAAAAATATTAATAAAAAAATTAATTAAATAAAAAATTATATTCAATACCAGCTGGATCCTACACTGAACATTATAAAAAATTTAAATAAAATTTAAATAAATTTTTTTAAAAGCTGCAATGTGTGTTTGTGTGTGTGAAGGCTTGTCTTTGCAGTGCTAAACGCAGACTAATCATGTTGTCTTATTGATTTCTAGATCTAATTTTCACTATTTTATTTCTGTAACTTCGGGTCCTGAATGCTGAGCAATGAATCACTGGATGAGTGAAGATCTGGGATTTGAAGGATGTCTCAGGATGTCTCTTGACTGAGTCAGACATGTTTACAGGCCTTGTGCAATTTATAACTCAAAATACCCCAGACAGCGCTAACTAAATTCTCATTCTGTGTCGTTCTCTACATTCTGCTAATAAAAATGCAGTTGCAGTTGACACATTGGATGGCTTTTCTGGAGGTCATCCTGGCAGTCAAGATCTATCACAATCCTCCATAAAGCAACTCAGGGCCATCAGAACAAAAACAAGCAGGCAGTAAAACAGTTTCCCCGAGACGGTGGCTATCATCAACAGCTAAGGTCTTCTCTGCATGAGATGTTTTTTTTGATGCTCTTATTTTTGTCCACGTATTCTTCATGCTGACTACTGAACTGCTTATTATTTGTTACAGATCACAAAGGCTGATGTGTCACTTAAAAAATTGCTTAAAAAATTAACACATTTTGTAAAAAATGCAATATGATAAAAGACTAAAAGTAACAGAACAATTAAAGGGGTCATATGATGTTGCTAAAAAGAACATTATTTTGTGTATTTGGTGCCTTTCTGAAATGCGTCGATGTTTACAAAGCTCATCGGTCTGAAAAGTGAGGTGTGCTCTGTTTGGCCAGCTATCCAGTGCGTTGTGATTGGCCGAATACCTCAAGCGTGTGACGGAAATGTTATGCTTCTACCATATTGTGATGCCTTGTCCCGGCCGGAGCGACGAGACAAAATCATTAAAAGTCATTATAAACGAGGCATTTGTTGCATCCAGTGGGGACATAATTACGGATTATAATGACTTATACTGTCTTTTTACGCGTTGCGTTGCATCGCGCCGTGTAAACATAAAACCATGTCTGCATTTGCGATCGGAGAAATGACAAACAACAAGCGCTACTCTACACTGCCCAAAACTCATGTTTGAATCGGTCAGTGGCAAATTCTTTATATATAAAAAACGTACTTACAGTCTGTGAGTCAGAACAGCCGGCATTGTAGTCTACTCTCCCAGGATCAGGAAACAGTCCTCCATAAAATGCGCTGCACACATCTGGATATTTGGGTTGAAGTGTTCTGGAACAGTGTTGTAAATACTTAACCACTGATTTCTAGTCGTGTCCTCTTTTGGAAGACCAAACAAAGTAGTTTCGCTTTCACAACGAAACACAGCGTCACAAACCGCGGCCTTGAGTGAGCGATGGCCTGAGGCCTAGAGTGAGCCGCGACCTAGAGTATGCAGAGGCCGGCTTAAGTCAGCAGAGGCGGCGGGCTTGAGAACGGTGCGGCCGGCGGATTCGACGAAGGAGCATCTATATATATATATATATATATATATATATATATATAATTAGAAATTAATTTGGAAAAGTAAAGAGAAAAATCAGGATATGGAAAGAAATGGGTTTATATATATAACAATCGATATCACAAAAATAAAACAGCGCAAATATGACTAAATATGATCTTAAAAGTCTAAAAATCACTCGTTTTTATAAAGTAACACTGTCCAACAGCGACACCCGCAGGTAAAGTTACAGTGGAGGCTTGCCTCCCTTCGGCCCATTGACTTTCTACAGAGACCCCAAAGCGTGCCGTGACTTTTCTGGAGGCTCATTGAGATGAATGGGGGAACGTCACGTCAGAGGAGGCAATGTTAACAAACACAACTTTTAATTTTAATAATGCATTAGTAAATGTTGAAATGAATGTGAATTAAGATTAAAAAATTATGTAGAAGTAGGCTATTGTTTATTCTTAGTGCATGTTAACTAAAGTAGTTAACTAATGTTGACTAATGAAACCTTATTGTAAACTGTTTCCAGAATATTGTTCAAATTGTTACTGCCTTTAGTTATTATTTTGGAATAAATATAAAAATGCATAAAAACACTATGAAATGTATAATTAGTATTAAAAATATTAAATAAAATAAAAAATAACATTAATAAAATACAAAATAGAATTATATTTGTTCTCTTTTTATGTAATATTTATACAGAAATATATATTCATATATAAAACTGCCTCCTCATTTTAAAACACCACCGCACAACGCTGATATATATAAACCCATTTCTTTTCCACATCCTGATTTTTTTCTTTACTTTTCCAAATCAATTTCTACTTCCTCCTCCTTTCTTTACGTTCATATTTCCCCCTTCCTTTCCATTTCCACCTTATTTCTTTTCCCGCTTTTCGTTCCTCTCTATTTATGTTTTATGTATATATTTATGTATATTTATTGATAAATATATAAATATTTCCACACAATTTCCCTTTCTACTTAATGATTATTTTCCCCATCAACCTTTATTTTTCCTTTCCTTCCCATTTCCATATTTCCTTCCATTTCTTGTTACTCTTTTCCTTACTCCTCTCTCTCTCTCTCTCTCTCTCTCTCTCTCTCTCTCTCTC